TGGGCCTCCTGGAAGATGAAAAGACCCAGAGGGACTTCAGACAGTGCTATGCAGAGTGAAGGACCTCAGACCTGGGTATCGGAACCACGCAGAGTGGTGGGCCAACATCAAAAAGAGAATGAGGGCATTTTTCTAACAGGTCAGCAGAAGGCAAGCCTGGATGCAGAGGAGGCACCATGAATGCCTAAACTGCAAATTGCAGAGCCTGCACAAAGAAGTGACTTGGGACTGGGACACAAAGGAGGTCATATAGAAGGTGACGGCCCAGGTCAAGGCTTGTTGCAGCAAGCAGGCCCCCTGGGTGGAAGAGGGGGAAAAGTGGTCTGCTTACTTTGGAAGACTGAAGAAGACCAGGAGGGAGACCATGACCAGTTTGGTGGACGGAGTCAGTGTGAGCAACTGGTTGAACAAAGGGAAGCTGGAGACAACAGCAACCTTCTACAGAGAGATGTACACAGCAGGCCCAGAGGACCCAAAGGCCATGCAGAGATGTCTGCAGAAGCTCATCTGGGCCTTCTGTCAAGACAAGGGTCAGAAGCTGGTGGAGGAGTGAATGCTGGAGAAAACCACCAGAACTCTCCACAGTTTCAAGTATGGTAATATTCCTGGGGCACACTGAGTTCTACATTACCTTCTGAGACCAGGTGAGCCTGGACCTGTTGGAGCTGTATAGGGAGCAGCTCCAGGAGGGCCACCTGGGGCTGCAATGGATCAGGGCCTCATAATCCTTCTTTACAAATGGGTGATGGATGAGCTAAAAAACTGGAGACCCATAATGCTCCTGAGCTTTGATTATAAATTAATGGCCAAAGTTTTGGTTGAGTGGCTTAAGTCTGTTATAGGTGGAGTGATCCATGAGGACCAGTTGTACCCAGTGCCAAGGCAACAGATCCATGAAGCCCTGCTGCAACTGCAGGATGCACTATGGTACCAATGGGAGAAGAGGCTGTATGTTGCCATGCTGAACTTCAACCCACAGAAGGCCTTCATCCAAGTTTCTCACAGACTTCTGTTTGAGATGCTAAAGAAGATGGGGGTCCCCCTGACCTTTGTTGCATGGATAAAAGTACTGCACACCAATATGAACAGCAAAGTGCTGGTGAACAACTTCCTGACTGCCCTGTGCACAGTACAGATGGTTGTCCAGCAGGGCTGCCTGCTCTCCCCAATACTCTTAATCTGTATCATGGAACCACTAGGCCAGCGGATCAGGTGAGACCTCGGGATCAACAGAGGGAAGATCCCCGGGGAAAGTGGAGAAGGCATGAGAGTCCGGACCTACATGGATAACCTCAATGTCCTATGCAAACAAATGGGTGGTAGAAAGAGTGCTGTAACGCTCCCCAGCATATGGAACAGTGACAGGAGACAACTCAACGTAGGCATGAGCACCTGCCTGGCAATGGGCACACTTGAGGATCTGTCTACCCTGGGAGTCTCCACTCTCCACCAAGGGGTAAAGATCCTTGAGGTGGTCTTTGATCCAGAGCTGAAACGAAAGAAAATGTGGAAAAAGGCTGAGGCCTCGATCAGACAGAAACGGAGACTGGAACACACAACTGCCTGTTGATGTTGGGGCACATGGCGCTCATGAGGGTAGTATTGTTACCAGTGTTTCTGTACACCACACTGGTCTTTGCCTCCTCAGAGCAAATCATCAATAGAGTCTAAAGGGTCATGTGCACTTTTTTCTGGGGATCCAGATAGGAAAAGGTTGTGAGGACCATGCTGTATAAAATGAAATGGACCAGGAGCCAAGGAATGCCAGACATTTGGCTGCATCTCTGAGCCAACTACACAAGCCAGATCTGCAAACTGGCAGCCAGGGAGGCTCCAAAACAGCTTGCTTTGTGAAATATTTTGCAGGTCACCTGCTACAATGCTGGGAGGTGTATTCACTCCCCAACATACGCCCGTGGATCTGGGAACTGCCATGATTCTACAAGGTCCTGGATAAATTGGAAGGGTCAAGAGCATGCTTCCCCCCTGTTCATTTGTTTGTTTGTTTGTTTGTTTGCTTGTTTGATTTATTTGCACAAGCCCACAGGCTCTGCAAAACCTCTGAAACCAGAAGGTGAAGCCTGGAAGAACTGCTGGAAGACAGCTAAGTGATAGTTTATTTCTTTAACTGTGTTTAACTTCCTTAGTTCATTTTGCATTGCTGACAAGTCCAGGGTGGCCTCTGTGTGTTATCTACTAGCCTGGCTGCAGCAGAGGCAAGGGCCCTGAACAGTGGGTCCTTGGCCAAAGCCAGCAGCAAACATAAAATTGGTTAGCTTTACTAGCTTGACCAAATATACCCTGCTATGATCTGCCCTAGAATCTGTCCATTGCAGCTTACAAAGATCCTGATCAGAGAGGCAGCACTGTTTGGACACCTAACCAAGCAACAAGAAACCCTGACAACTGGCTTTGACGCACTCATATCCTGCTTCAGAAACACCCTGTGGAAGACCAGGAACCAGTTCATCTACAAGCCCACCAGCCTCTTAGTTAAGGATTCTGTCAAAATGGGACTGAGTGAGCTGCAGGGGTACTACAGGAAGACAGTAGATGACTACAGGGAGAAGATGGTGGAGATCATATGGAAAAAGACAAGACTGATGCAGACTGTTCAGGAGTAGGGCCCCCAGAGAAGATGACGAGGATGAGGAGGAAGACAGTGATAACAGCGGCAAAGAGGTAGTGAGTGACAAGGATGACAAGGAAGAATACAGCAATGAAAATTATGTGGACTAAGGACTGGGTGGAAAAACAGATGGATTTTGGGGAGAGTGGGGGGGTTAGGAAGGGGAGGGAATGGAGGCAGTCAGCATGATTGTGACAGGCATGCAGGTGCATGGTTGTGGTTACTGTAACAGGATAACGATGATGATTAGCTGTGTGTGTGATGGGCTGTCAAGTGAACTGGATCAGTCATGAGACAGAGCAATAAAGCTACAGATGCATGCGTGTGTATGTGCCTGTGTATGCGTATATATTTTTTTTTTTTTTAAAGAAAAAAAGCAGTGGGGAGGGGAACAAATTCAAAACAAACCTTCAATAATTAGATTCCATACCTGGAAAATTGTAATAAATGTTCCCTATAAAAAAACTAACTAAGGGGGTTGTCTGATACTCAGGGCTTCAGGGTAATCTTATATTTGAGTAAATATGGTATTACTTATCATTTGAGGTAATATCTTCTGGCCTGCTGCAAATGGATGCGAGATTATTATTTTGACTATTATTATTATTGCTATATGGGCACGTCCAATACTACTGAGGAATCCAAAAATTTGAAGCTGCAGGATGACAGAGTAGAAACCCTCTTTGTAAAAGACACTGAAAAGAAGACAAATTCTTTGGATCCTTTTTTTCTTCCAGCAGTCTATTATCTGGCCTGGGTTCAGCTTTAATCAACTGCTGTTCATGCAGGTGAGGATTTCAACTTCACAATGACAAAGCTGGATTTGTACAGTTAGATGTCATCTGTATGCTGCTGGCATTTCAGTGCCAACCCTCTCAATAGCTTTGTAAAAATATTATATAAATGTAGAGTAGACCGGGCCTCCTGGGACTCAGTAAAAGAGACAGAAGAGCAGGTGGCTCATAATAAACTTCTGGGTTCAATTTGAAGAGAAACACCTGAATCATTTTATGGTATTTCTATTCAACCCCAAAGCTTTTGGGAGACAGGTTAGGATAAACCAGAATCCAATACTACAGAAAAGTTCAGGCAAATGAATACAGAGGTATTTCTCCTTTTAAGTCTCTCACCAGACCCTTTAGAATGACTTTTGTAATATATCTTAACCTGAAGTCCACAAAAGTAGCTGCAGTCAAGATGCAGCACAGGGGATTCCTTTTGGAAGGCTTCTTAAGTAGCTTTCCTAGAAACAAGAAGCATGGCTCTAGAGAGTATTTTGCATGATCTTTTGTCAAGTGATGGCTTCTGTAGGTTTGATCAGAATATTTCTTGTTTTGGGGTTAGTGGTAGATTCCTTTATTTAAATATGTTGACAATCTATTAGTAGAGGCTCCACATTTTCACCAACCATAAAGGTCATGGAGAAAAGAGTTATAGGAGATGGCCAGGTCTGCCACAAATGCTTTTATAACTATTTGTGTGAATAGGCTGAAGTCCAGAAGGAAGCTGTTGTGTTTCTGGTTCTACTCTCACCTTGCCCTTGGCAACCTATGAACCCAATCTCATGTGCAGATCTAATCCGCAAACATCTACAGGTCGAATCAAACTTCTTTGCAAGACCACCACAATATAAACTTATGTCTACTTTCTATTTACTGCAACCCCTTTACAATATCCTCACAAGCAACACATTGATTAAGTTTCTTTAATAAATTTTCTACTAACATTCTTCTATCATAGACATCTTTGCCCCCCCATTTCTATTTTTTTTAAGTATGTATTTTTTGCATTACTGTTCCTGTCTCCTTCCTGTTAAAAACTGTGGATAGACTTATTAATTCAACTGGCAGATAAATCAGTTATTATTTCCCTGTCCATCTAATATACAGAGGTTCTGCCCTATTGTCAATATTCTCTCAGATATGGTCTGCAAAGATAAATATCAAAATCCATTTATTTTTAAATAGACACTTTGGATATTTTAGAACAACAGGTTTTTATCACCAGGGTGGAGGACTGTATTTATGAAGCAGAATTCTGGACTTAGCAGTGGCAGAGAGACTGAGATGTCCTAAACAGGGTAAAAAAGTATGAAGCATCACAGTCTGTTCTCCTCCAAGTGATGTCTGATCTTAAAAGACAACCTCTGCAAGTCCTTGAGGCAGAAGGATGTGCTTACAGAACCTAGGGAAACATTCATTTGGGAATGAAAGGTTTAAAAGGTTAAATACTGAGGATCTTTCCCAAGACTCCTTAGTTTGGCTTTGAACAGCAACATAGACACGTGAGCAAAAATCTACACATGATAAAGCAAACAGTTTCAATACAAAAAGGCTGCAACAGGGATGGTTGTCAGGTTTAGCAAGTCTACCTGAGTCCTCACTATCATAGCAGGTCCTGGTATACTGCTGTATATCCAGCTGAGAAGGAAGGTCTTGCATTGACACTGGTGTTCCTCTTGGATCAGCATAAAGCAGCAACAAAGGCTGATAATGACCCTTAATGCACTTGGTCACAACATCTTTCCACTTTGGACCAATCTGAATTAAAAAAAAAAAAATAATACAAGAACAAAAACATCTTAGTTTTGTTTTTTACTTTCTTTTAAACTTCGCCCATTTTCATTGAGACTGGTTTTTCCCAGGCTGCACCCTACAATCAAGTAACATTTTCTTTACACCTGGCCTTTAAAATCCAGTTATGAATGCCCCTGGTAATGACAAACTACTGGAAAGTGGTTGAAAAGAAGGCTGTGATCATTTTCTTCAGAGCACCACTATAGAAGGTCACATGGAGAAGCATTTCATTCCAATTATAAACCCTGAAATGTAATTGGAGTAAGATATTAATTAAAATTGGCATGTCTTTCCCTTCTTTTGACAGCTAACACACTGTAAAAAAAAATGGACTGTAAAAAAAAAAAAAAAGGACATTATTTGTAACACCAGGTGGACAGAAGCCCACTACTGAAAGAACTGAAAACTACTTTGTCTATTAATTTATTTACTGCTTTATGTTTAAACCAGGAGGTGATCAACCCCGGCCTGTAGGGAAGATTCAGTCCACAGAGCCATGTGATTTAGCCTATGGGGCTCCCCGGGTTCAAAAATTTAGCAGTGGCAGAGTGATAGCAGCATTAATTGCTGCTCCCTTGCTGCCAAATTTCAGAACTGTGGGGAGCCCTGTGGGCTGGACAACCTGGTCTTGCACACTAGATCAGACACACAGGGCCAATCTGGGTATGCAAGGCTGGGCTGAGGCAGTACAGGACCCAACTGGGGCACACAGAGCCAGGTGAGACTGGTGTGGGCCTGATCATAGTGTGCAGGGCCAGCCAGAGGTACTATAGATTCAATCTGGATACACAGAGCCAGATGGGAGTGAGGCAGAGCCCCAGTGTGGATGGGATTGTCATGTGTCTGATCTGGGAATACAGGGCCAGGCAGGGGCAGCACAGAGCTCAGCCTGGGCCCACAGGGCTCTGTGGAGGTGACAGAACCAATCTGGGTGCCCAGGGCTAGCTGAGGCAATACAGGGCTCAATCCACATGTGTAGGGCTAGGTAAAGGCAGCATAGGGCTGGATTCACACAATGAACTGGTCCTACACTGCTCAACTGGTCCACAGAGCCAAAGGATTAAGAGCCACTGGTTTAAACAACTACCATATTTTCACGCATATAGCCTGCACACTGATATAACCCGCACCCATGTATAACCCACAGAAAATTGTATTTTCATAAAATAGTCCATGTATTCCCCGCCCCCCGAGACATGGTCGCAAGCACAGGCTCTGCTGGGCACGGCTGCCGGAGCCGGAGCCAGAGCTGGAGCCAAGACTCGCCACAGACTCTCACCACCTGCCTGCAGCCTCACCCAAGACATGGCTGCAAGCGCAAGCTCTGCTGGGGCTCGCTGCAGACTCTCACTGCCTGCCTGCAGCCTCCCCACAAAACATGGCCACAAGCGCAGGCTCTGCTGGGCATGGCCGCCAGAGCCGGAGCTGGAGCCAGCTAAAAGTGGTGCAAGCAGGGGGGGAGGCAGCCCTGCTCCCTGCCGCCGCTGCCAGCCACGCTCAAGATAATCCCGCCAGGGGACGGGCTATGCTGTTCTAAAGATTCTGCATAGTTTGCACCCTTGTATAGCCTGTACTCATCCATCAAGTTTGTAAAAACGTGCATAGCCCAAGGGCTATATGCGCGAAACTACATTAATGCTAATTACTGAAGTTAAAATAATACTCTTTCCTATTCAGAGTTTATCAATGCTATAAAACTTCTTACCACATGAAATTTCCCAGCACTGCATTGACCAAAACCAGGTAGGTTTTTTATTTGTTTGGGTTTTTGTTGTTGTTATTATTATTATTATTACTATTATTTTAATCTTTGGTACCAACAAAACAATTTATCCATCACTACAGACAAGATACATTAGGGGGAATCCCACACCCACAAATCAGATTTCCAGTACTGGGGTTAGTTCATGTCAAAACTAACACCTGGAGGGAATTCATCCACCATTCAAAGTATTAACAAACTTGCTGTATCAGCATTTCTTCTCCTAAAAAGGTCAATGACTACATTTCCCATTTCGGCCTGCTGGTCATTAATTCCTTGAGTGTAGCCCATATTCATTCAAAAACACCTTCCTGTGTTTTAGTACAGGTTTGAGGCAATTCAGAAAAGATCTGTTTCAACACGTTGGCTTCTTACGCATGTACTCTGGTAAAGCACTGCATAACACTCGGCAAGGCATTTACTATAGAGAAACATGACCAAGAACAAATGGTCACATTTCTCCATAATACAGCCTCTCTAACAAAGGCTTAGAACACTTCTTTGGAGGCTGTGCTTGGTGAAATTATAGCAGGAAGCTTTCCTTTGTTACCTTTGCAACAAGGGAGACAAAAGGGTAGGGATATGAAATGGAACCCTGAAAACTGATGCAATGTAGTAATCATGTGCTGATATCCTAGTGCTGTTGCCTTTGACTTCATCCTAGGTGCCACAAAAAAAAAGGAGAAGGGGAGAATGTGCCTTCAGGAATAGCTACTAGCAGCCACTAGAAAGGAATGCCAACCTGATACTTCAACTGAGAACATGAGCACTAGGGACTTAACAGCAGTACCACTTGTCAAGAGGGGAAAAGGGAGAAATGCAACCATAAGCACAAGTAAATTGTAGGATCTCAACCAACAGCATCAAGGCAAGACTGGCAGGCAAAGAGAGAGAACCAAAGAGAGGGCCCCCTGGGCCTTCTGGTACCACTGATCAATTGTCAGGTTACCTGGTACTGGTTGCCATGCAGGTGTCTGCTGTATAGAAGTCCACAGCTGTTTCAACTTTTGCCATCAGCAGTGCAGGCACCAAAAAATCAAAAAAAGGTCAATGGGAATTAAACAACAGTCTGAGGTGACACCATGAAGATGAGCAATAGTGTAGATTATGGGACCCCTCCCCCCCATTACACAAGAAAGAAGCTTTGAATGGAGAAGGAATAAGATACTGCACACTTCCATTCTCCTCTTCTCCCCTTTCCCCTCCTGAATCCCTTTCAGATTCTTTACACTTTCTCCTCTGTCAGGCCTTACTTTTAAAGGTGGATGCTCTTTTTTTTTTTTGAAAAATCAGATCTTCTAGAGAAAGTATCTCCTCCAACAGAATTACAAAAGATGTTACTTCATTCAGAAAAAGGAAGAGCAGTATGAAGAAATCAATATCAAGCTCATCAACACCAACAAAGCTCCTTGGGTTTACAAAAATAAACTCCAATTTTCTTACCTCTTTAACATGAGCATCATCAAAGTACATCCACTTGCGAATTTTAGTTTGGAAGAAGAATGTAGAGTAATGTTTCCCATAGTAGCAGATCATTCCCACCAAATACAATTCTGACTGTTTTGCTCTGTCATCAGTTACTCTGAAGAAGAGCTTGAAAAGAGTTAGGGTGGGGAGAAGAAAGGAGAGAATAAAATGTTTTGCATTTAACATCCTACTTTTCATTTTAATACGTCAAAATGCTTTACATGGAGGTTGTCTTCTTAGTTTTTCCTTCTATTCAAAAATAAGGTACAGAATGACTGACCCCTGGTAACAGATAAACTCAGTGGCAGAAGTGACAACAAAACCAAGGTTGCCAGACCCCAAACACAAGGGTCAGACTTCAAGGGCATAGCTGCTATGTAAAGGTGTTTATACCAAAGGTGCAATTCCTTTTCTTTTTTTTTTTTTTTTTTTTTTTTTTTTTTTTCCCAATTAA